AGAATATCTGCAAGCCGTGTTTACCAAGTTAGTAATAACTGCATTAAGTCTTTTACATATATTGTTGCTCCAGTGACTTTCTGGTAATGCTACCATTTTCATATTAAAAGCCTTGACGTGTTTCTACAAGTTTCCTTTTTTATTATTTTTTATTTTTTTTTTTTTTAAACAAAAAAAATTGTTATGCAACATGAAAAAGGACTCCAGTAATAATAGAAGTCAGTTTGTTATTAATCAGAGTTACTACCCAAAAAGGACAACAAGAAAGTGGCTTTTGCCTCATGTTTTCAGACATGCTAGTTTCATTAAATTTGATCATTACATGAAGACTGATAATTGTTCTAGGAAGAGGTTTCCTAAATTTAATGACTTCCACACTGCTTCAATACAGAATTTCATGTTTGTTTACAATCATTAATATTGGCATTATGAATCCACTTAAGAAATTAGGATTACTAAACTGTTTATGTAATTTATTGTTTTTTCCTTAGCAGCACTGATTTTGGAGAATAATAGAAATCACTGGAATTCTTATCCAGTCATAAATGGAGGTAAGAATAATGACTTCAAGCAGTAAACTACAATTTAATTATTTTTTCCTCACAGAGTATCATTCTCAAAATTAAAAAAAACTTTTATTTTTTCATAGATTTCTTAATTAGAAGTAAAAGTATGTTAGATTTTGCTACATCAGTAGTTATATCATCCCTCATATCTTCAATCTAGAAAATGTCAGTATTTATAGAAAATAATGTGATATTATCATGAAAAGTGAACATTTAAGCTGAGGATTATTTCTTAATTAAATATTACTCAACCATTTAAAGAGTTTAAATAGTTCTAAAGCCATATCATTCTATATACGATAACAGAATTTCAGTATTCAAAGTAGCACATCTTTTTCCTTCCTGTACCAAAGAATGCAATTTTGTTTCACAAGAACCATCATAATTATGAGCAATAAACAATGACAATTTTCTGATTGTTCTTTCAGAGGTTGCTCATTTTTCTCATGTTTGTGATGATATTTACAAGTTGATTGAAACTTTGAATCACAGATAATGCACCTCTAAAACATCATAATCTACAGGATTCAGTTTACAACTTTGTGATATCAGAGAAGATTGATTGGATGAAATATTGATACTTTTACTTTCATCAGCTTAGCCTGGTTGTGCACCATATGCACAAGAATATAGACACATACAATAACACTGGTTTCTAAATGCAGATAAAACTTAAATACATAATTTTTGGGATGAGGAGTTATTATTATTTACACTATTTATATTCAGACTATTGTCCTCATCTTTGTTTTTATCACAACGTTTTGGCCGTTGTGTCCTCCGACCTTCCTCAGGGGTATATCAATCTGGGTAACCTACAGGGAATTTCAAACTGAATCCTTTATTTAACCTGTTCTCATTCCACTGTTCATGTCTAGGGATTGACCCATGTGTAAAAGTATTGGCTTGTGAATTTGTTGACATAGTGGTTTTGAGTTCAATTTCTGGGTCAGGCAGTGCGTACTTGCACTCAGTGGAAATGGCAAGCAATAACTGAACAGTGCTAAATAATATAAGAACTAGATGATATAGCTAGATGATGAGCAGTGGAGCAAAGAGAGTCTATATCCATAGATTAGATAATCACAAAAAAAAATGAAAGGTAATAGCTTATAAATTTCTACACTACCTAAAACATCAATGCTACATCACAAATGTTGGTGTTAACATCAGTTGGTCTATATTTTTATTGTATTCATTTCTGTTTGAATTTCTGGGATGAGAAGTTATCATTATTTACACTATTTACATTTCGACTATTGTCTGCATCTTTGTTCTTGTTATCACAGTATTTTGGCTGTTGTACCCACAGACCTTCATTAGGTGTATATTGATTTGGGTAACCTACAGAGAATTCCAAACTGAACCCTTTATTTCATCCAGTTTACATTTCTTTCTCTCTTTCTTAATACACATATATAGATAAGTATATGTAAATGTATGATTATATATGAAATGTTCCTTTTTATTTTATAATAATTTATTATTTTCAGTATTTATCTTTTTCTTTTTCCTTTTTGCCTTTGGTTTATTATCCCAACATTTCCATCTCATTTTTATTCTTATGATCTAACTTTGATTTTTGTACATGTAAAAATGAGTTGCAAGAATGAAATGTATGTGCACACAAATACACACACACACACACACACACACACACACACATATATATATAATATATATAAGTTATTCTATACTTATGGGTTAAAGTGATCAATATCAGGGATAAAGCATATGTAAATATAAAAGTGAACATTGCGGTCAACACCCAGTAGTGACAGTCTGTTTCATGCTTAAATGCAATTATCAGGCCATGATGATTCTGTTTAAGCATGAAACAGTCTGTCACTGCTTGATGTTGACCTCAATGTCCACTTACACACACACATCCTTATCTATTCAGGTAATTCTATCAGTGATTAGTCATAGAATTGCAGTAAAAATGAATAGGATATAAATTCATCCAATGGATCCTTCTATTTCCTCTCATTGGGCAGATCCCCTAATACCAACTGAAGTACAATATTTTTTATTAATAGCAATTCAGGAATTCTGTGACCTAATACATATGTCTCCTTCCGTGTTTGTATCAGCCTAATTTCCATTAAGCATTCAGACTTAATACATTTGTTCTATGTAAAAAAAAAAAAAAAAAATTAGCTCAGACTAGCATCAACAATGATTGAGACTCAAAAGATTTGTTGCCATATTGAAATTCTCTGACATTTCACTTTTATCTTCATAAACCAATATTTTCCTTTTATGAACTTAAGGACTATAAAGTTAAAACAATGATTATTTCTTCTTAAATGATATACTAGTTTCTTAATAAAAAGTATTCCCTGCTCACTTTGTCCTCTTTTTGTTTTCTGTATTGCTTAACATGCAAGCCACTGCCAAAAAAACTCTGTTAAGTTTAAAAACTTTAAACAAACAATTTGATAAGAAATGACACAAAGGCATCTATACCTTTTTGTCTTATTCAGTAGCTACTTTGATGACATGAAAAATTATTCCTCATCTCCCTGATTCTTTTTACAACCTCAAGAATGTTAACCACATATTGAACAACTTTTCATGGGTACCTAAAATTGGGACAATATTTGTTTTGAACAGATTTTGATGAAATTGATTTAAAATTTTAAAAATATATAATTTTTTTATTTTTAAAGTGTTTTCACAAAGTTAAGGAAAAGAATTACTAATCTCAATTAATGTCTTTGTCATGGTGACTACCTATTATTCTACTCCAACTGCCACTTCCACTTACTGATACTACTCCAAACACAAGCCTTAAAAGACACAGTCTAATCGTAGAAGAGTTTTGTTAATAGCAACATTCTTTGTTGAATAAAGCTGAACATTTTCTTCTTAGCTCACAACTTATTCAACATACACACTGGAAAGATATCTGAAACCCTGTCATTTTGAGGCAGACCCTAATGCAAGTGATGCTGCAGACCCATGGCACCACTGGTTTAAAACTTTTGGCAACATTATTGACACTATCGACCCTGAAGGTACAACCAGATTACATGTACTTAACAACTTTCTGTCCCCAACCATTTATAAACATGTTAAAGAATCACCTATTATGAGAGAGCAGTGGAAACACACAGAAACTTCTACATTAAACTTAAGAATGAAGTAATTGCACAATATTTGCTCTCCATCTGCAAACAAGATCCAAACAAAAGTCTGGATCAGTACCTCAAAAACTTAAAGCTTTTTACGCAAGACTGCAATTTTCGGTTTCATGCTGCCAAGGAGTGCAAAAAAACGAACACCTTAGGGATATCTTTATTAATGAGATATATTCCAGCTACATTCACCAATGTCTAATGGAAGACAAAACCTTAGACTTGGAGATGGCATTTGAGCAAGCACATTCTTTAGAGGTAGCTAAAAAGAAGTCTGAAACTTATATAAAGTATGAATACACCATTAATGCAGCTGCCTCTGATACTATTTCTAAAAGTACCTTTACTGACCAAACCTTTGCAGCTGCTGTAAGGCTCAATGTTTCTTCTGTGGGTTCAGAAAACACCTCCATACACAGTGCCCAGTCAGGGAAGCTGTATGCAAATCATGAAACAAGGTTGGACATTATTTATAATCCACATGAGAACAGTCTAGTAGAACATTATAATGGAATAATTTGTTGAACAATATCTCTGGCTCTGCATTCACAAGGTCTCCAGGCATTCATCTGGGAGATGTTTGATTAACAGCAGATAGGCATTCACTCCTTTTGTGGTTGCCTCAACCCAGAATTGTTTTGATGAGATGTCATATGCACCAAAATAAGTTTGAACCACTGGTAGATGAAGTTGAGCTACTCAAGGCTAGCTCTCATTGTGCATACATATGCCTACAAAATGAACATGAAACTACAGTTTTACTAAGAGACTAAGCCTCCCAAGGTGACAGGTTAACAGATCAAGATTCTTCTGATGGCATCAATCCAGTGCCTGAGCAAGAAAAGCAGAATACTGCTGCAGATCAGATGCACCCTATAGTGGAAATACCTGACATTCAAGAGAGCCCTTTGCCTGAACAAGGCAAAGACATAACCCAGCACTCTTTTCCACCATTCTACACCATTCTACAGGTATCAAATGAAGACCCCAGTACTTACAAGATTATTTTGAATAAAACAATTTAACCTAATCTTAATAACACAAAGCACTGTTCTTAGTTGGTGGGGGCGAATCTTGTGGTGACTGCTATTCTAAACTTACCACCACTTCCATTTTCTGATACTACTCCTAACACAACTGATAGCCATAGTCTAATCATAGAAGAGTTCCATTAACAATAGCAACATTCTATGTTGAATAAAGCTAAACTTCTTAGCTCACAACAGTCTTTAAAAATTCTTTGATGTTGCACATTTGACCTGCTATTATTTTCTAAATTCCTTTCTCTTTTCAGGTGTCCAGTTAACTAATCAGGGTGAAACATAAATCCAGGAGAGAAAGAATGCAAGCATTGTTTACAGTCATATTTATTCTGGGATTAGCACTACAATGTTTTGTTGGTAAGTACCAGTTGTTTGCTTACTAAATGAGGGTTCAAGTGCTCAACTTCAAATCACCTCAACATAACAACTTGGACATATTTTTGACTTGGCAGCTTCTGACTAGTTTATCATTTCAAATTGACAAAAGCTGACTCTGTTTCTTACATTTTAGATTTTTTTTATCTGTTTTTAAATTATTTCTAAATTTTATATTTTATTTATGAAATTTGTTAATGGCTAAAAGATTTTAATGAATCTTTTAATATTCTCTTGAGGTATATCAGATTTGACAGATATGTTTATGAACTAATTTAAGGTCTGATTTTCTTTACTTGTTCTTGATTAATTTTTAGAAGTGTGATATCTGTGTGAAACTGATCCAAGTAATCTCTTTCTAACTGACAAAGTCTCTCCATACAAGCAGAATCACATTCAAAAAATGAACTGAACTGTACTCTTTTGTATCATGATTTTTATGCCCAGCTGATCTCACAAAAAAAAAATTTACTACGTTTAACCACTCTCGCAAATCTGCCTAGCTCTGAGACTGTGTTTTTCTTAAAGGAGATTCACTGCAAAACAAAAATTTTAAAGTGTTCAAAAATGAAGTTTTTAGTTCATATTTCAACTGATATAAAATTAATTATAGTAATAAATTTTACTATTATCTTAAATGATCATATCAAGAAAAACATGTCTTGCAAAACAATATTGAAAAATAGAATTCTATGATATTAATATAAGTTATATTAATTTGTTAATTGAAGAAACTCTTGAAGAATTGAATGGGAATTAAATCAGTAAATGGGAATAACTTCTTTAAAAGACTTCTATGATTTTCTTAATTTTGACCTTCAATTCCACTTCTAGAAAATGTTCATAACAGTTTATCTTGTTTATCAACACATGAGGTGCCTGAGATATTTGATTGTCCCCTTCCTTACCCTGAAACGCTGCACCAATATTCTTGTCCTCAATCTTAAGAGAGATCCCATCTCTAGGACTTCATTCAACAATTTTTCAGCTTTTACACTGGTTATATGCTTGCAGCATATCACAATTCTCTGATCCCCAACTTATTCTTTTGTTAACTGTAATATCCTCCAATTTGAAATTGACAGTGTAGAAGGGAAAACAGCTCACCTCCTGAAACAAAACATGCTTGTATGTGTCTTGTGTGCCAAATACTTGAAAGAAAATATGGCTAATCCAAAATCTACAATTTAAGAACAACTTGAGCTCAAAGATTTTGTGAGATGAATTTGTGGCTTATGTCAATTTTTGAGCCTCAGTCACACAATAAAATTAGCATGAGTGAGAGAACATCAGAGAGGAAGCAATTGAAATTGAAGAGAAGACAAAACAGCCATACCTTTTTGGCTACAAGCTATTTTAGCCTCCTAATAGGCATAATGTTGGCGGTGAAATTCAATATCAAACTCATCTCTCAGGTTGATGGCTTGGTGCCCGAGCTATCTGTGGTCAAAAAGGTAGAACTTGTATACAAGATTTGCAGTGTAAAACATCTCAAACACATAATACCCTTATGTGGGCAATTATAAAGGATGGGGTGATGGAGGATGGTCTGGCAGTAGTGGTGGCACAAATGATACAGGATGAGACGAAGAAGCTTCTGCCAGGTGTCCACGTGATACCGTAACATGAGTTGCTCATGGTCTATTATTAACAGAACACTTTGTCACTCCTGGAAGAGGAAGGAAATAGACCTGCTCACTGTTGACAATGAAACCCTTAAATGCTCTGGGGTCAGACTTGTTCAACTTGGTGTGAGCATCAGGTGCCCTATTAATGTCGAGGTTCTGGTTGTAGATGGGAAGCTACTGGGGTGCAATGTGTTGCTTGGAGTCAATGTCATCAAGAGGCTGGTCAGAGGGTGTGTGACTAGCAGTGGCATCTTTAAGTTTTTCTCAACTTGACTGACCTTTATGCACAGACATCACCATCAACATACCCAACCTTCAGGCAGAATATGATTGGAACAGGAAGATCTACATTATATACTGGAAGTGGTCTGGTGACCAGATGCCACCCATGATAAAGAACCAGATACCAGAGTATCCTGCACCAAAGCAGCTCAGTGTGAAGTACACTCAAGAGCAGCAAACCTAGATAGATAATGGTTGGCTACTTCTGTATCCTGAAGAAGAGCTCAGGCCTCCTAAGGGACTAATCCCACTAATAGCTGTGCTGTAAGAAAACAAGCAGGTCCACCTATTATGGATCATCAGGAACTCAATCAATATGTTGATGCATACACAGCTAACACAGCTGTTTGCATGCAAAGATTGAGGGAGTGGCGACATGAAGGGTCAGACGTCACTGTGTTGGATCTGTGTCGAGTGTATCTGCAAATTCATGTGGACAAATCTCTTTAGCCCTTTCAAACAATTGAAATCAAAGGGCAAAGGTATTGCCTAACCTGTTTGGTGTTTTGACTCAATGTAGCACTGCTGATCATGTTGCCAATAGTCAACAGCATGGTTGCACAAGATGAAACCATCCAAAAGTCCATGTTACTTGTACATCAATCATATATTTGTCAACGAGAGTATGTACCCTGTGATTTGCATAAGAGCACAATTTGGACTGACTAGCAAGAATCTGGAGTAGATAAAGAATGGCACCTAGCATGCTGGATTTGCATTTCTGGGAGAAGTAGGTAGACAATTGAGACGTGCAAGTTAGCTTCCACCGATGCCTAACATACTTGTCCATTGGAGTATCTTTTCTCTGTGTGATAAATTAACAGTGTTTGCAGTTGGCTCTGCATTGCAACAGCATTTGTGAAATGATGAGCAAACTTGGTAACAATGGGCTGGGATGATGAAGTGTGGGAACCGCTCCTGTTTCGAATGCTGAAAGACATTATCACCAGTGTGCCGCAGAAGGATCCAGCACATGGAAATTGGTGTATGGATGGACACAGTCACTGTGTGGGCTGACACAGGCTCTTTGGTTACTGGTGTCATTGTAGAAAGTAGTGAATCCTTGGTTGAGGATGCATGTTTACTGTGCATGAATATAAGCATATTAACTTGGCAGAGCTCAACACAGTGTTGAGAGGCATCAACCTGGTGTTGCAATGGAAGGCAGCTGTGGTTCACATGAAAGCAGACTCAGCATGCATACATCATTGAGTTTCCAATATGTTGTCTGGAAAAATAATGTAGCATCAGAAATGTTCATAAGATGTTGGCTTGGCACACTCAGGGAACTGGCTGTGGAATATGGAGTAACAATTGACATGGGGATCATCAGATCTCATGCAAACCAAGCCAATCAACTTGGCCAGTGTGTGCTGCATCCATAGAAGAAGAGGAATCTGCTTGTATACAAACCATCCATCAGTGTAGTGAGTACCTCAGCATGAAGCACACATTGTTTTGTAGAATGGGTCAACCCCAAAGTCTCCAAAGCAGCAGTTCGGCCAGTGGTCAGGGACTGCAAGGTGTGTCAGTCCATAGACCCAGCACCAGTGCATTCAAATGTGTGTGACAACTGAAGCAAGATGGGAATGGATATAATCCATTATGGAGGCTGGCATTATCCTTCCTTGATAGATTTTGACCCTAATCAGTTTTCTATCTGGCAACTATTACCATATCAAGACTCTACCAGCTTCATCTGGAGTCGCTATTCTGCAAGAGTGGACCATCTGCCAAGCTGCTCATTAAAAATGGTGTGGCTTTCTTTGGAGAGATGATTGTTAGGTTTGCAGAGGAGTGGGGCATATGATTGAGATTCCAATGTGTGTATGTGCCATCAGGGAATGGTATCATAGATGCCATCATACTATCAAGCAAATATATAGATGTAGGAATCTACAGAGTAGAAGATACAGTCTGAATAAAGGCTCCACATGGTCGATGCACAATGCAATGTAAAAAAAGGGAGAGTAACAGAGATCTGTAGCCCACAATCAGTCCTTGTTAATGGAATACCATGTCATCTCAAAGATCTTTGCCCACATCATGGTTCTATTTCCTCAGAAGACAATGGTAATTATATGTCATCTGAGAGTGATTCAGGTACACTGCTGCTTTTCAGAGTCGAGTCAGATGATTCACCTGCGAACCAGAAGAAATAGAGTTGGAATATGATGATGGTGCTGAGAATGAGAGAGAAGCTGTGGGCACAAATGAAGAAGTGATGGACAGACACCATCCAAATTTATGAAGAAGCATTCATCAAAGGATAACACCATCAAGTGGTAGTCTTACCAGTTGTGATTGAAGAGTAGACAGGGTACAATTGGTACTCCAAATGGCTGTACCTTTTTTCTACAGACAGAAAAAAATCTATACCCTTTATCATGTTGACTTTTTATGTATGCTTACCTGAAGTTTCCTTTATGTCCCATGCATCATTAACTCCACAGTACTTGTTCTCAATCTCTGCTATCAACTGCTTTTCTGCTGCTAATCCTACTCCACTTGTCCACCAACTTTGACATATTCAAGCTATTTAAGCAACTCATATCAAGGAGGACTCTTGCCATCCTCTTCACTACCAAAAGTTCCACCATTGACAATATTGCAGCATCTTTACTTGGTTAGAGGAATACCTCCCCACACACACCATTTTCCTGAAAAGATTTTGAAAATTTAATAGCTACATGGTGTGTCACTCAGACTGTGTTGTATCTCACTAAAATCAAAGCTATTGTTTTTAGTGAGAGACTTGGTGATTTGGAAACCCTAAACACTATCCAAATGAAACTAGTGTTTGCTCTTCAAACACTAATTGCTTTTGTGTAGCATTTTGACTTGTAGATGCAAGACTTTTAGCTAAAAGAACTCTTGAAAGCTTCTACTGCCATTTCAGGATGTGTTCCTTGCTAAAATATCCTAATCAAAATTTTAAGTGTGAAAATTGGTAAAATATTCAGTTGAAAAATGAAGCTGGGTGAGGAAACATATCAAACAAAATTTTCAATATTTTTATTCTATCTTATATTGTTTTCTGGCTTAGCTTTAGGTTGTTTTTATAGGTTACTA